GGCAGAGCTCTGGGAGAGGAGTACAGGCCCTATGGTTAACCAGAGATGCCTCCGCATTCTGATTTTCATGCCCCTTCCTTATTCATGCACATCTGCCAGGACGGCCAACCACATGCACAAACACATTCACAAACAACAAAAACATACACATGCCAAATTCACAGCCACTCTCATGTACACTTAAGCCATATGCACATATAATTCTCCAACCCTGACATGAGCTTGTATGTCTATACTCTGCTATTTTAACAAACACTTGTGTACCTGGTACCAAGTTTCTAACACATTCCTTATATGTTGATCACAGATAAGAGGCTGTAACATCCATATATATAAACTCCAAACAACATATAGGAACGAAAGTCATAAAACAAGCATTCAAAAACACTGTGACTTTATGGTAACTTAAGACCAACAAACATTTGGAGATTGTGTCTGGAACTGCCTGACATGCCTTGAAACATATTTTCCTTGGCTATGGATGTCCACTCCAACCCTGCAGGAGCCGGGGCAGGGGCAGATAGCCTAGTGCACTAACCCAGGACTTAGCTGTTATCTTAGCCATCCTCCTGCCTCCTGTAGGAGGGAACTAAAGCATTCAGGCCGTATGTTGGGGGGAGTGAGCGCTTTTATCTGGAAAGAGGGTTACACATTTCTATAGAAGAGTAGAGTGGAGGGAGCAAGGGCCCGAACATTGCTCGCTTGGGTTTGAAACCCATCTTCACCACTTTCTACTTGAATGACCTAGGGCAAGCTAGTCAATCTCTCTGTGTCATTTTCCTCATCTATAAAATGAGGGTAATAATAGTATTTACAAAACAGGTTGTTGTAGGAATACACCAGTCAATATTTGTAAAGTGCTGAGAATGGGCCTGGTGCATCATCAGAGTAAAGTTAAGTATTGGTTATTTTCCTCCTGGGAGTTCTCCAGGCCTAGGGATTGAACAGCCTCCTCGACTCTCTCTCATAAACTGCCCCTCTCCCCACCCCTATACCGACCTCCACGCAGTCGCCAGCTCACTTCACCAGGCAGGACCAGCTCTCACTAGGATCTCTTTATCCCTCCTCCCTTCTATTGTTAAGGTTTCTGCACATGGATTTGTGGAGAGTGCGAAGGGGTTTTGTATCTGCCTGTCTGCAAGGATTTGAGACCAGGCATCCAGTCTCCAGACTCCTGCAGTGCTGGTTAGTCTGGCTGATGACCACTGCTATCTGGACTGGGAACGAGAGCTTTTCCCCGGGAAGGGCAGGGGGATGCTGCAAGGTTTCAGCAGGTTACCTTTTGATCGGTTTGTGAGAAGAGAGATGCTTTTCCATTGATCTGGAGATCGATCTATCTATCTATCTATCTATCTATCTATCTATCTATCTATTTATCTATCAATCATTTATCTATCATCTATCTATCTAACATCTTTCTGCCTATCTGTCACAGCCCGTAGCTCTGCCACGCCCCTTCCTGTGTGTAATTCTTCCAGAGAACTGTTATTCCTCCAAGGGAGAAACAGAAAAAGGTCTGTTGTCTCTTCTCTCTTACTCCGACTCAGCTCAAAGCCTCATCCCTTCAACCCAAGACAATTCATTTCCCCCTCAGCTCCACTCTGCGTTGAGCGGATGGATTCCCAGGTGAACTGAAATCCAGAGCTATTCTCATCTGGTTGCCCTGGGAGTTTCAGCGCTCTGGGTACAACCTGTTCCTCCATCCTCCCCACTCCCTCCCTCCCTCTCTCACTGGGCTGCGCCCTCCTCAGCCTCCCTCCCTCCTCTGTCTGGGGCCCCTGCTGCGCCCTCCAGAGAGGCGTCCGCTGCCACGATACCCGGGCATGGGAGGAGAGAAGAGGAGGCGGGGAAGGGAGGAGGCGGGGAGCGTGCGGGGTGGAGGCCAAGCACCGCCGCCGCGCAGCCTGAGAGGGGCGGCTGAAGGTTGCATCTGCTGGAAGGAGGCTTTTGGCTGCTTGGTAACGGGCTGCCAGAACAGAGAGAAAGGCAGAGAGCAGGGCAGCGGTTTCTTGACGTCAGGACCAAGCGAGGGGATCGCACCGGCAACCCCGGCCCGCCTCACTGTTCGCTTGGCCGACGGCGCGAGAGCAGCCCCATGCGGGGCACCCACGGAGTGTGAGGAGGGGGCTCGGGAGCGGGTCGACAGGGGCGCAGCATGCCCCCGGCTCCGGGGCCATGGAGATCGCCCTGGTGTCCCTGGAGAACGGCGGGGCCATGACCGTCAAAGGAGGAGGTGAGGCCCGGGCAGGCTGTGGCCAGGCCACGGGAGGAGAGCTCCAGTGTCCCCCGACGGTTGCGCTCCGCGATGGACCCAAAGAGCCAGCGCCGAGGGGTTGCAGAGTGCAGAGGAGCGCAGACCCGGGAAGGCGGCCTTTGCCTTCTCTGCCCCCGTCCAGACAGCTGCCTCCGGTGGACGAGGAGGGAGAAGGCGACCCCACGCTGGGCATGGAGGAGGACCAGGCGCCGAGCGCCGGGGCCCTTCACCACCAGCGCATCTTCATCAACATCTCTGGGCTGCGCTTTGAGACGCAGCTGGGCACCCTGGCGCAGTTCCCCAACACCCTCCTGGGGGACCCGGCCAAGCGCCTGCGCTACTTCGACCCCCTGAGGAACGAGTACTTCTTCGATCGCAACCGGCCCAGCTTCGATGGCATCCTCTACTACTACCAGTCCGGGGGCCGGCTGCGGAGGCCGGTCAACGTCTCCCTGGACGTGTTCGCAGATGAGATTCGCTTCTACCAGCTGGGGGACGAGGCCATGGCGCGCTTTCGGGAGGACGAGGGCTTCATTAAAGAAGAGGAGAAGCCCCTGCCCCGCAATGAGTTCCAGCGCCAGGTGTGGCTTATCTTTGAATACCCGGAGAGCTCGGGGTCTGCACGGGCCATCGCCATCGTCTCGGTCTTGGTCATCCTCATCTCTATCATCACCTTCTGCTTGGAGACCTTGCCTGAGTTCAGGGATGAGCGCGAGCTGCTCCGCCACCCCCCGGTGCCCCACCAGCCTGCTGGGCCGGCCCGGGGAGCCAACGGCAGCAGAGCCCGGGTGCCTCCCTCAGGCCCAACGGTGGCGCCGCTCCTGCCTCGGACCCTGGCGGACCCCTTCTTCATCGTGGAGACCACGTGTGTCATCTGGTTCACCTTCGAGCTGCTTGTGCGCTTCTTTGCCTGCCCCAGCAAGGCAGAGTTCTCGCGCAACATTATGAATATCATCGACGTGGTGGCCATCTTCCCCTACTTCATCACCCTGGGCACCGAGCTGGCAGAGCCACAGCCAGGGGGCGGAGGAGGGGGTGGCCAGAATGGGCAGCAGGCCATGTCCTTGGCCATCCTCAGAGTGATCCGCCTGGTCCGGGTGTTCCGCATCTTCAAGCTCTCGCGCCACTCGAAGGGGCTGCAGATCCTGGGCAAGACCCTGCAGGCCTCCATGCGGGAGCTGGGCCTGCTCATCTTCTTCCTCTTCATCGGAGTCATCCTCTTTTCCAGTGCCGTCTACTTCGCGGAGGCTGACAACCAGGAGACCCACTTCTCCAGTATCCCAGATGCTTTCTGGTGGGCAGTAGTCACCATGACCACGGTGGGCTATGGGGACATGAGGCCCGTCACAGTAGGGGGCAAGATCGTGGGCTCACTGTGTGCCATTGCTGGGGTCCTCACCATCGCCCTGCCGGTGCCTGTCATCGTCTCCAACTTCAACTACTTCTACCACCGGGAGACGGACCACGAGGAACAGGCAGCCCTTAAGGAAGAGCAGGGCAGCCAGAACCAGGGCACAGGAACGGACAGCAGAGGCCAGCGGAAGGCCAGCTGGAACAAGGGGTCCTTCTGCAAAGCTGCGGGGTCCCTGGATAATGCAGAGGGAGCCCGAAGGGGCAGCTGTCCCCTAGAGAAGTGTAACCTCAAGGCCAAGAGCAATGTGGACTTGAGGAGGTCCCTGTATGCCCTCTGCCTGGACGCTAGCCGAGAAACAGATTTGTAAGGACTGATGACAGTGGAGTGGGGACAGCAGAAGCCTCCTAAACCTGGGTGTCTACTTTATACCACAGAGTATTTCAGACCCACCTGTAACCTAAGTCTGTCCCTCTTCCTTTCACTCCTTCCCTCCCTCCTTCTCTCTCTGGATCCCCCCATTTCCCTCTTCTTTCCATGACACCAAGAGTCGCCTATTTTTAAAAAGTACCACATTCCATGACGCAGGAGCTGTTGAAATGGTGAGCACTATGAGATGGATGTATTTGTAGCCAGTTTCCTATACTCAGCTGAGGAATAACTCAAACAAAAATGACTTTAAATAGCCCAGATCCCAAGAGATTTTTGTAACCCCCCCCCCAAACATCCATGTGTTCCAAATTTGCTTAACATATGATTATATTTGTGTGTGTGGGGGAGGGGGGTATGATTTTTATGGCTGGTGAGTGGATTTTTGTACTATAGTTCAGATGGAGATATTTTGGATATATTTTTAAGACATATGTCATATTTATGGAAGAGAGAGTTACTGTGATGTTTTTCTGTGATACTTATATTAGAGGCAGAGACTCTGGTTATGGCCGTTCTGGTTCCTGTGTCTGCAAACCTCTCTCTTTTCTGGGATGTGGTAATGGTGCTTTGTGTCTAGGGCAGGGAATGTTCTGGAAGAAAGGCAAGTCTGACTTTTTCTGTGCGCCTTAAACAATTCTTGTAACTTTCTTCAAAAGGCATTTTAATGATGCTGGAGGAAGACTTCTGATAATTCATGCTCTTTATTTTTATCCCAGGAAATAAAATGTTACTTGGTTGAGGCAAGTGTTAGTTTTCCTACAGCTAATGTATTTTTTTGAAATTGAAAAAAATAGTCTGTCACTTGCTGTTTCTGGTTTTGGAGTCAGAGCAAATGCCACATTGACTGGGGTAGAAAACTTGGAATGCTGATGATTTGATCAATATCTTTTTGCTGGGCCCCCTCTATGCTTCATAGAGGAGGAGTGAGTTCCATTTGTTTCAAGCTGTTGATGACTTGGACACCCTTGCAACGTATTGTCTGATGGTGTTAGACTCCACGTGGAGTGGGGATGAAGCTAAAAGGCAGAGGGTGATCAGCCCCACAACAAAGGCTCCCCACTGTGGCCCCCTGGGGCTGGATTTCTAAACTCTCCTTTGTCTGCAGATTTTAAGTCCTATTTACCAAGACTCTCAACAGCTCTGAGAAATAAGCCTGACTCTCATAGACATGAAGCCTGTTCATAAAACATAGCCCTGGTGTGAAAGTCATGGAGGGAGGGAGGGAACAGCACCTGGTTACGCTTCCCGGCCAACCACGGTGTGGCAGAGGAGAATGCCCTGCCCTTGTGGAGGACAGAGGCAGCGAGAAGCCAAACTGAAGGATTCGCTGGTCTACATTAAAGGTTAGTTTCCTTTGTGGGTAATCTCTAAACTCAGAACGAATCCTTTTGTTTCCTTTTCACTGGATGGCTGTGGAAAAACATCACAGTAGGTATAACACTACCTGCCATTTCTCTCTGGGATTAGCTTTTCCCATGGGCTCTGAATTCCTGCTATTGCTTTTTCTGCTAAATAATCCAAAGACTGGTCGTTTTACATCCTCAGCCCGGTTGGCTGGTGGTCCACAATCACACCTCCCCCACAACAACAGTGAGCTTATCAGTTAGTTCTGAGGGTGCATCCAGGTCTCCAGGGAGGATCTACCAAACTGATGTCTGGGAATCGTGGATTTAAATAAGACACCAACACAATAATAAAAGCCAGTGTCTGTGACTGCCTGGAGTCATTTCCAGTCAGGAACTGTTAGCAGCAAATCTGAGGAGAAAACAGAAGGATTTTGCAGGCGGGGCTCTGTTGTTTTTCATTACATGCTGAGGCAAAGGAAGAACAGACACTGTATTTATTTATAATTTACAATCTGCCTAAAAGCAGGGCATCTTGCCAAAGCTCAGCTCCACACAGTCTCACCTCCAAGCCCTCTATGGCTTTAAAGCTAATGTGTGGGACTGGACCACCTGGTCCCAGGCTCCACCCTCCCTAAAAGACAAAAGAGCAGTTACCACCTTGGACCTGAAGGTCGGGTCCTTTAGGCTTAAGCAACAAAGAGCAGTGCCCAGATCTTAGATGTATCCAGGTGCCTGACAGATGTTGGTCCAAGTAGAACAGCCTGCATCTTTAAAATGTTCAGTAAATGAGTGTAAGCTTATTATACAAATCCTCAGGGATGGAGTGGAGGAAATGAGAGAGTGAGTCTCTTTGTTTTACGTGGGAGGAGGGGTTACTGCAGAGCAGGTTTATAAAGTGTATCAAGGCGGGTTCCAGAGGGACCACTGGAGTGGGGTACCCTAGTCCCCTGCTCCAGCCTCCTATCCAGGTACCTGTCCTGAGGCACTGGGAGAGGGGCCAGATAGGTAGTGCAAGTATTTTCATCTCTCTGTCTTCTCTGTGCACCTGTTGCTATGGTTCTGGAAATAGACGCCACTGGAAATAGACATCATGCTTCACCTGTTCACATGTTTAGCAGGAAAGGAACTTGAATGTCAAGGCTGTTACACAAGCTGCCCGAGGTAAGGGGCCCCTCCTGTCCTCTCCCACCCTTCCCTGCTCTGCTGTCATTGATTTTCCACAGCCTTTATCTTCCTGAGGAGATTAGATCAAGTGGCCTCAGCCAAGCTTTTTATCCAGATGTTGCTTCTTGGCCCCCGCAGCAGGAAACCATCCCTGGGTTTACAATGTACCAGCTTCGGCAAACACAGCACAGAGAGCAGGGTCGTGCTTGGTCTGTGCTTGGTGACGGGATAGCTTCTCCACTGCAAAGCATCTAGTCCCCTCTTTTTCACTATTTTTTTTTCCTCTTGCCTCTATGCTCGCTGAACCCTAAGAAATGACAGATTAAAGCCCCCGCTCTTTAATTCACCCTGCCTGGGACGTTTCCTGCAGGGGAAAATGAAACAGAATGCAGCCCTTGAAGAAACTTTCCACTGAGTTGGGTTTTGAGTGGTTCTAGTGTTAATGATATAAGCACTTCCAGGCTTGGAGCAGATGGCAAAGCTTCTCTTGGTGCAGGATACCTTGCTCCAAGTCCCCTCCAGAAGTGACAGGACGTGTACAATGAAGTGTGACACTGGGTGATGATCACGTGCTCTACTCTGACCTCAGCGGAACCTACCTACTCAGTAGCTACCTGGACTCAATACTCTTGGATGTGCTGAGGACACTGGAACAAATATTGGTATGTGGTCCTGCTTTCATATACTTCCAGTCCCGGTAGGGAGGCAATCAGTGTAAAACCAAAGCAAATCATGCCAAGACAGTGTGTGATCAAGTGCCTTGTAAGGCTTCCAAAATGAAGTGTTACGGGGTCAGGAGTGGGAGGTGAGGAGAAAAGAAAAAGAAAAGAGAAGTTTCTGGAGACCTTTAAGAGTGGCTAGGAAGAGGGGAGGGCATTCAGGATGAGGGAAATGAGAATAGTGGGCTAGAAGAGAATGGCTGCCCAGTCCCCAACACAGACATTCTGGGATGGATGGTCCCCACTCCCCAGGACCACAGTGGGACTTCCGGTTTTACCAGTTGTTTAGGGCAAGGGTTGGCAAAAGTTCGGAAAAGGGCCAGATTGTAAATATTATAGGCCTTGTAGGCCAAGAAGCAAAAGTGAAGCTATTATTGCAGGTATTTATATAACTATTTAAAATGCAGTCATTTAAAAATGTCGAAACTAGCCTTAGCTTGACAGTTATACATCCCTGTCAAATCAGTTTATCGGTCATGCAGAGGCTGCCCCCAGGCCACCCCGTTATGCCCGTGAGCCCCGAACTGGCTCCGGATTTGATTTTACTCCATTGAACTTGCATTTCTTGCAAATGCCAACTCTGGGCTTGGGGAGGGGACCTCATGCTGGATTTTCCTAGACCAGAGACAAACTTATTAGAAAGATGTAGCTTACTTCTATCTCCTCATGAAAATTAGATTTTTCTAGGCAGCCATGGGACAGGCTTCTCTATGTCTAAGGAGGGAGAAGAAAATGCCAAACTGGAAATTCTGCCTAGGACTCGGCGGTGGGTTTCCCGTGAGCCATTGGCAGAAGTGGGCCCAGACTGCCAGGAGATGGGCCTCCTTCTCCTCCCGGTCCTTAGTCTCTCCCTGGACATGACATTACACGTGGACGCTTGAGAGTGCACTTACCTGCCCCTCTTCACGTGGCTCTTCTCTGGCTATGGAGATGGTCCCTGGGCTGTGGCTTCTGTGTGCACATGGTGTGCATATGGAGTGTGCACATATAGGAGTGTGCATGGTATATAGGGGGGGTGTTGGCCCAGCCTGGAGCAAATCAACTCCAGATCACAAGTCCTCAGACAGAGCAAAATGCTTGTTACCTTCCCTCTTAACTGGCATTTATTTTATAATGTGAAACTTTGCACTATGCAATGTTTCAGCTGGAAGGAACCTTACACATAGTCTGGTCTGTCCCTCTCTGTTTACAAATGAGAGAATCAAGGCCCGGAGAGAAGAGGTGATAGACCCAAGGTCACACCCCCTGTTAAAGAAACCTAGGATTGGAATTTTTTTCGCCCCGACTCCTAAGCTGGATTTCTCTCTGTGTTCCTCTCTGCTCTTTCTGCATGAGAGCCTCCAAGTTCTCATTAAGCTGCTCCTCACCCCGCCTCCTGAGGCACAGCCCTGCCACATCGGTTTATCTACATCCAGTCTGCCTGTGAAGGCTGCCTCCTGGGTCTCCAGTCATGCTTGTGAAGCCCTAATCTGTCTCCTCTGATTTGATTTTACTCAAATCAACCTGCATTTATTGAAAACGTCAAGCCTATATAGACAATGGAGATACAGCACTGTGGTAAACAGATGCCTGTATATAAGCATCTCACTGTCTACGGAGGAAACTGAAACATTTATAATCTAGTGTACTTAGAACTATCATTCATTCGTCATCTGTTCACTCATTCATTCATTCCTCCCTTCATTCAACAAATACTTATTTGACAGCATTATTTACTATGCGGCAGGCACCATGCCGGGCATTGGGAATAACTGGCAAGGGATCTTCCATAATTGGTTTTCCAGTCCGTTGGGAAGAATCAATAATCAAGTGAGAAAACGAATATTTTGCTAGATCATTTTACAATTGAGTTAAGAACCACGGGGGCAATGAGCAGAATTATAATCGGGGGAGCGATGTACTAGTTAGAGAGACGCATGGTTGAAAAAGAGCGCATGTGAGCGAAGCATGAGAAAGCGTGAGATGAGGTGGGGAGAGGGGGACAGCGGTGTGGGGACTCTGGAGGCATTAGAAGGGAGCACGTGTTTTCTTGCAGAAGCAGAGAGGTGGAGACCTCAAGTAGAACAGGGGGCGGGGAAAAGCCACGGCCCCCTGGAGAGCTCTGGGCAGGACTTTCAATCCTAGCAGCACCCCTGGCCACTCAGCGCTGAGGAGCAGGAACGTGGCCCTGCCCAGCCAGGCAGCACACCCAAACGGGATGCGGCGGGACCGTCTCACTGAAGGAAGCACAACACAAATTTCTGCTGATGGCAAGCAGTGGGTTGAAATCTGATCTTTTTTTTTTTAATTCGTGGGACAGGCCAAGACCCTTAATGCCTCCTCGATTGGTTGGCCAACTTTTAGGAGACTCTAGCAGATTTTTGCAACCTGGGGCTGAGGGCTGAGGCAGGTCCAAAGGTTGGGGGGTGCCGCGGGGTGCAGGGTAGGAGGGTGGGCATAAGCCCTGGAGACCTAGAGTTCCTCATGACTATTCTAAGACCAGGAACAGAAACAAAAACATCTAAGAGGGGATGAA